CTCTCTTCCTCGTGATGCCCTCTACATCCATGTTATCTTCTGAGGTTCCCTCACGATGAACCTCAACCTCCACCATGCCTCGTTCCACAGCACACGGCGACAACTCACTCTTACTAGTTGGCCCGTCAACCCTGCTATGTTTTTATCCTTACATTCCTCTACAGGCAACGCAGTGCCTCTCACCAGCTCAGGAACAACATCCTCTGCAGGCGGCGTCAATGTCCTTAACACTTCCTGAAGCTCTTTCTCTAGAGCCTGCACCTCCTCCTGCACTTGCACTTCTGTACTTTTCCCTTGTGTAGTAACAGATCCTTTTACATCACAGCTTACCTCACACATGCCAGTCTCCTCTTTGGAATCCTCCACCTCTTCACTCCACAAGCGCCCAGGCCCTTGCTTTCGCACGGGGCTCTCAACAGCTATCACGCTGGTAACTGGTGCTTCACCAGTTTGCGCTGGCGCCCTCCTCAGCTTCACGCACTCTGCCGCCATATGGTCGTACACCCCACATATTCTGCACGTACGTCTCTGTCCGGCATACGATACCATAACTTGCGTCCTGAAGTCCTCCAACACGACGTAAGACGGTATGGGATGTCTCAGAGTCATCTTCAAGGAAAAGGTACCCTCTGGACGTCCCATGTAAGCACCTGCCGTCCACTTGCCCTTTTGTGCCAGATGTACGGTTCCATATGTCTCAAAAACACTCCTTATGTCAGCCTCATCTGCCTCAAATGGGACATTACGTATCTTAACCCACGTAAAGTGGCGAGATACGTCGATCAAACGCACCTTCACAGCTGGAGTAGCGTCAAGACTCACGTCTTGGAATCTCGTCACCAAAGACTCATACACGGACGTGGAATTCAGTTTGACGAAGATTCTATAAGCCCCATTCAGGGCTACACCATACACCTCATCGTCCTGGATTCCATAGGTCTCCCTAATGATTGTTGGGAGTAAGACTTGCACTGAAGAGGGTGAAATCGCCCCACAAAGCAGCTCAATACCAATGGTATTTACGCGCCTACCTCACACTCAGCGCCATGTTGATACAAGGTAGCTCGCCTGAAAACAGCAGAGGGGTGCAGAGCACAACCGCACTCTACCGTGGTCAGGCAGCGAATTATCTAAATTCCACGATATATTGAAACTAAGTGATTTGTGATCGCTTTCCCCAATCTCATCATAAACCTCAAGATTATTAATTAGTGATTCTTTTAAAATATATTAGACAAGTTGGTTGGGTCATTGGCTTAAGCCGGTGGGAGACTTGGACCTGCCTCTCATGGGCCAGTAGGCCTGCTGCAATGTTTTCTTCTTATGTTAAGTTCACGAGTGAGCCCAGGTAGATGTGAGTTAGACCTACCTAACATGGGTAAATAGGCCTGCTGCAGAGTGCCTCTCTTACCTTAGGTTCTTATATTCTCTGGTTGGATAATGGGTTTAAAGTCTATCGACTACGCTAGAAATCGTTACAGCTGCGCCTAACATGTTCACCACCAAACAAGAATACTATTTTAATTTTTAAAATAGGCATTAAAGGAGGTGTATGTCTATCATCATACATACGCTGAGACATGCACCTCTCAGTGTATATATCCTGTATACACTAGCAAGGCGACGAGTCAGCTCAAGACTCAAACTGCTGAACACCTGGTAAATAATTGAGGATAACTGCTGTTACAGAAGACACACTACACAAGACCACGCTGTGAGTGAGAGGTGTGTCCAGGTGACAGCCAGTTGTGGTTCAGTCATGCAGGTGAGGGCAGCAGTATCGTAGCTTCCTTCACACACCAAACCCAGTCATGGCACTCGCCAGAGATCCTCTGATTATCCTTTAAATAACTTGGTAATTCTGCATTTTTTTTCTTTATTTCTAGAATTTTATTCTCATTTTTTTTAAGCTTTTTGGTTATTACATTTTTAGTAATTTTGGATTTTTCTGTTCTCATTTCACAAAATGAGCCACACCCGTTCTGTTTGAATGCTGCTGACATCCATGATGTATGGGGCAGTAGTTCCCCATTACCATGGTTTTAGTAAGTAAGTTTATTCAGGTATACACACAGTTACATAAATTATCATACATAGCAGCATATGTGTAGAGAACCTGGGATAACCCAAAAAAGTCAGACAGACTGACTTATTTCCATTGGTGGCAGTCAAACACAAAAGTATATAAGGGAACCAAAGACGGACATCAACACTGATGAATTAAACGTGTAACATCTGGACATTTTTTATTTATAGACTTTTCACTATCCAGAAACTTCATCAACACAAGGACAGAACTTGAATACTACAGCATTGTCGGTGTTATATACCATTGTTACATTACATTACCTGAACCCATTAGTCATGGAAGATTACAATTATGACTTCTATAAGTTTAAACTTGACATGGTGTGGCTGCCCTGACCCAGATACTTCACAAGGTCACAGTATAGGACATGGTGTGGCTGCCCTGACCCAGATACTTCACAAGGTCACAGTATAGGACATGGTGTGGCTGCCCTGACCCAGATACTTCACAAGGTCACAGTATAGGACATGGTGTGGCTGCCCTGACCCAGATACTTCACAAGGTCACAGTATAGAACAGTTTCATTTAGGCCACCAGTAAGAAACATCATAAACACACATGACAGCATTAAGTCGTGTAAATCCACAAGAGATAAGCTACATATTTACAAGTGATAAGAACGTGTGGATGTGCTACTTCTGGAGTATAATCAATAAATTGACATATGAATTCAGTTTAGAAGTTTGTAATTGTTCTATTTGCCATAGTAATCGCAAGTGTTACGAGGCACGTAAGATCTTCTAATGTGTTCATTTTTACCACTATAATCTACCTCGTCCATAATTATAATCTCAGCTCTTCTCTTTCGTAATGTAAAGTCTAGGATCTTTATGGACAAGGTAATTATAATGGAAAAAATAAACATGTTTTTAGAAGACAAGGGAATTTAAGTGCTCCTTAAATCTGTATAAAAAAATACAGCCTGGGGAATCACAGGCAATGTTTCCATAGCTCTAATTCCTTGGATTAAGAACTCTTCATCAGTGGAGATAATTTGGCACACCTGTGGGCCATCAAAGATTGGTCAGGCGTTCACCCATCTAACTACTGACCAGTTGCTATATACACACCGTGCAAACCTGAAGTTAACTGAGGCTTCAGCTTAGCAAGACTTAATAAAGCTTAGCAAGACTTAATAAAGCTCAATTCTGAACCAAACTTGGAATAAGTCTTGCTGTGCAATAAATGACTTACCAGAATTGTTGCCTTTCACCTGGTATGTTCAGCTAGTAGTAAGTAGGTACCTGGTTATTATTGCTGTTAGTAAGTAGGTACCTGGTTATTGCTGTGGGTCACAGCTTGAGAGAATTGAAGGACCCTAGTGGAAACAAGCTTGTCTGATAACATACTTTTATTGGATTATCCCGGGTTTACTACCCTCCAGGTTCATAATCCCGGGTTTACTACCCTCCAGGTTCATAATCCCGGGTTTACTACCCTCCAGGTTCATAATCCCGGGTTTACTACCCTCCAGGTTCATAATCCCGGGTTTACTACCCTCCAGGTTCATAATCCCGGGTTTACTACCCTCCAGGTTCATAAATCCCGGGTTTACTACCCTCCAGGTTCATAATCCCTGGTTTACTACCCTCCAGGTTCATAATCCCGGTTTACTACCCTCCAGGTTCATAATCCCGGGTTTACTACCCTCCAGTTCATAATCCCGACAAAACTGCATCACAGATGAAAACAATTTGAACACTCGGAAAAAATTCCATGGAAGGCAGTAAATGGATCCCATCTTTTAGTGGGCCGAAGAGATGCTGGGAAATTTTCTGATTACAATAGTCTTGCATGGTAATATACTTAAATTTGCCTAAAATATATTAACTAATATAGTTCTTAAAGGAGTGGACCGGTAAGCCAGTGGAAGGCCTCGGTCAGATGACCAAAATTTCCAGCTGTGGGTCATCATATAACTAAGACCCGCGTCAGGAAACACTTGTCCTGTTTCCTGACAACCCCCCCCCCCCAAACTTCACATATTCTGACTCGAAATCGAATAACACGATTGAAAACCCACCATGGTGTGGGTGGGGTTAGAATCCCTGGTTTATGCCCTAGCCTCAAGTTTTAGAACTCTACCATGGGTTGTGTAATGTTCAGACCATACCCGCACCCTGGTTTTTTTTTAACTTATCCTGAAGTATTAATTGACTGGTATGCATCTTCTCCCCCCCCCCCAGAAAAAAAAATTAGAATATTCCCCCCCCCCCAAAAAAAAAAAAAGTAATGTGTGGATAGTTTGTACGAACTGAAAAACTGCTCATAATGGTCTGTATAGCCAGGTACTTTATATAAAGTTCCTTAACCAACTGTAAATTATACTTAGGAAATAGTTTGATATATTAACCAAGGATCATCCTTCATTTTTTTTATGCAGTAATACCGCTCGAGGGAGGTTCCTTGATGTTGGTGAGGGACTCATGATCTAGGGAATTATATCTGTGCTTCAGTTCCCTGAATTAAACCTGCATACCTTCCACTGTACAACCCTACGGGTTTAGCGCTTCCCCTTAACTATAATAATTAAGCATTAATATGATGCAAAGACACTCTTGGAGACGAGCACCAGGAGCATATCTCTGCTTCTACAGCTACGGATAAACCATTAAAACAAGTAATTATCAGATTTAGGGACACTCAAGGTGACGTTACTGACGTCAGAATATCGCTGAAGATAAAATTTGTTTGATATATGTCAGGAAACAAGACAGGTGTTTCCTGTCGCAGGTCTTGCTTATATGATGACCCACAGCTGGAGCTTTAGGTCATTTGTCCGAGGCCTTCCCCTGGCTTACCCCTTCCACTACTTTAAAAATCACAGCTATGATTATAACCATCAGAATATATTAAAACATTGGCCAACAAGTTTCTTAAGTTACCCCTGGAAGGTCACGTGATGGCTGCCTGGCTCCTCCCATTACATTGTTATTATTCAATATTCCCAGCATCCTGGTGATATACCAGCACTGGTATACCTTCCCTGGCGCCACACACTCCACTGGAGAGAAACCCAGAGTGTAAAGAGTCATAGTTTGAGTGTAAGATGAGTGAGAGGTGAGAGTGGGTGGAGCCAGAGGCGGGGCATCACACGTGTTTACACTGACATCTGAACACACTCAACACACCTCACTCACTCAACACACTCATCTAGACACCTGAGACTCGTCCAAACACCCGAGACTCGCTGAAACACCTGACACACTCTTCCCAAACACTTGACTCACTCGCACACACTTATTCAGTAAGGCTAGTCGAGGCACTCTCCATGACACTTCCATACACACTCTACTCACTAAGTACCTTCCTTACATACTTGGTGGTACACTCAGGAGCTACAACACAGTACAATGGTACACTGGAACTGGTACACCTGGTAAGTACAAACTTGTTCTCTTAACCTCAATGACCCAAATATCTTCTATGAAGCTTCCCATTAATGTCTTAATTCTCTAATGATTTATAAATTGTAACTCGTTTGCATTTGTAACCTTTGTAAATGTACAAATATTAGAGCATTACTGTGAACGTAAAAATATATTAGACAAGTTAGTGTGGGTGGGTGAGTTAGACCTGCCTAGCATGGGCCAGTAGGCCTGCTAGGCAGGTCTAACTGTTATCTAATGATGTTTACCTGGAGTTTACCTGGAGAGAGTTCCGGGGGTCAACGCCCCCGCGGCCCGGTCTGTGACCAGGCCTCCTGGTGGATCAGAGCCTGATCAACCAGGCTGTTGCTGCTGGCTGCACGCAAACCAACGTACGAGCCACAGCCCGGCTGATCAGGAACTGACTTTAGGTGCTTGTCCAGTGCCAGCTTGAAGACTGCCAGAGGTCTGTTGGTAATCCCCCTTATGTGTGCTGGGAGGCAGTTGAACAGTCTCGGGGCCCCTGACACTTATTGGGGGAAAAAAACACTTGTGTACAGTTAAACATTTATTAAAGGAAACGTTTTGCCACTAGAGGCTTAATCAGTCCTAGCCCATACTAGGTAGGTCTAACATGCACCCACCTGTTACCTTTAATGTCCTGAACTATACAAGTGTCCTTTTCCATAGTTTGTCGCTATTACTATACCATTTGCAACCTTATGTTCTTATATTCTCCACAAAGGTAACTAAGCATCCCTCTTAATGTTACCTTTTATATTTCCTTATATAATTATATCTTTAACACTATATTGACTGAACTATATTATTGACTATCACTGCTATGTGGGTTATCATTATACATTTTCTGTAGGAAAATATCAGTTTTTACAATATTTTGTTGTAAAAGTGATGATAAATATAATACATATAACCCTATAAAACCCACTGAACCCAAATTAAAATTATGTAATGTAACTTAACCTTACACTTGGCCAGGTGCATGATGACTATACTAAGTACTATTCTTTGGCTTAATGTGCTGCTTAACTAAAATAAATGCACTTTTTTAGCCAATATCTCTCAAAATAACAATTTCCACTAGAAATACTTATTCTATAGATCATGTAAGTTTTATGTATTTTAAAATATAAACTAATGAACAAGTTCTACCAAGTGGTAGCTTTGAACTAATGTTTCCTCAACTCATGACCAGCTTTCTGTTTTCTGTTAATATCATGGCTTGGTTGGTAGTATCCTCAGTTGACACACTGAGGACCTGAGATCAAACCTCAGCACAAGTGAAATGTTGGTATTTTCCCTTGCACCTGCTGTCCTTCTCCAGTATTAAGCTTGGATTTTACGTTAAGAAATTTCAGTATTCACCAGCTAAACTTTTTTACACGAATATCCTGTTTCTTGCATAACTAGTAGCCACAGCAGGGATAGAATTATGATCCTAAGTTAAAAAAGGTATACAGTTAATACTCACTTTGCATCAAATGTGTATTTTGGACTGTAAGCTATTTTTGTGCATGATTTCTCATCCACTTTTTTCTAGTTTTAATAAAGCTTATTAGTTAAAACTTAAAATATTCACTCTAGCTAATACTTTTTTATACTGAAACTAAGTATTAATTTTATCAGTATATGTATATATCTTCTATTTCTGGTTTATAAATGCAACATTTTTTTTTTTTTTTTTGTTAGCAATATACAGTATTTCAAAATTTTCAGATGTACCGTCATGGCGACCGTGCCCCAATCAACCTCTATGCTAATGATCCCCATAAGGATCCTTCCCTATGGCCCAATGGATTGAGTCAGTTGACTGAGGTATGAATCCTTCACAAGTTTCACTTTGTCTTGTTATAGCAACTAATTGTGGAGTGCATAAGGTGAGAACACAAAAAAATCTAAGTTTGGAAGTCTTGCCAAAAAAGTGAAATTCCGAACTATCTAGTAGCATGTTAGTAGATGGTAATTGCCTATTGCAAAACTGTACTACCCACCAGCCTTGTGGATGCACATGTGTAAAATGTATAGATTACATACATAAATGTACACACCAGACTGTTAAACTGCTTCCCAGCATACATAAGGGGGATTACCAATAGACCCCTGGCTGTCTTCAAGTAGGCACTGGACAGGCGCCTAAAGTCAGTACGTACCTGACCAGCCGGGCTATGGTTCATACGTCAGTTAGCATGCAGCCAGCAGCAACAGCCTGGTTGATCAGACCCTGATCCACCATGAGACCTGGTCTCAGACTGGGCCGTGGGGGCGTTGACCCCCCCGAAAACACACTCCAGGTATACTTCAGGTATACCAGGTTGTAAATTAAGATAGCAACCACTCAAGGCGGTGCTACCCTCCAGTCTTAAGTGTGCAAAACACACACACTCGCACTTTGTAGTAGCTTGGTAGACAGTGAACCACCTTGGAAGGTACAGTGTCACCCTCCTGTCATGCGAGTGTGAAACATGAAGTCATGTAGTAAGGTGGTAGACAACTACTCGGGGAGGTACTACAATTATGCCAGGCAGTAGCCTAGTAGATAGTAGCCATCCAGGAACACACTAATCTGTCATGTGAGTGCAAAACAAAAGAAGCCTAATTAAATGTTTTACATGATTGCTAGTCTTTGTTTTTTCCCTCATGAATTAGTAAAATCTTAAGCTAGTCCTGATCAGTACCTATATTTGGTATACACTTGTCTTTACTCTCCACTGGGCTTTCAATAGTTCTTGTTCCAGTTGTAGAGATAATCATTCTATTTTGATGCAAGACCAGTTTGCAAAGGTAGTGACTAACAAAAGAAGGCACAATACCATGACTGGAGCAATAAACAAATAACCCACACATAGAGGACCTTACGACGGCATTTCGGTCCAAGTTGGACCATTTACAAAGTCACACTAATGAAAAGGAGAGGGAGAAGGGTATAGTATCTAGGCAGGAGGTGGTGGTAGTAGTAGTATTAGTAGTGGAGGTAGAAGGTAGTAGTAATAGTGAGGGAAGTAGCGAGGAGGAGCCAGCCAAATACTAAGAAAGAGCAGCACTGCAAGGGATCTAGGTGCCCACAGAGGGTAAGAGCCAGAACACAGAGGGGGGGGGGAATAAATAAAGAAGGAACAAATACACGAGGCAGAAGAAAGACAACCCAAATAAGAAAAAGAAATGGGGACGAGGGAAAAGAAGAAAAAGGAGGAATCGGGTTGTCATGGGTGTTCTGAAGTTTGGAGCATTTTACAATGTAGTGGGAAAGGAAGGCATCTACAGAGACGAAGCCAGGACTAAGATTCATGCAAGGAAAGTCGTGTATTAGAGAGGCGACTGTTGAAGTTGGAAGTAGGGAAGAGTTTTACTACTGCTAACTACTACTAACTACTACTAAGTACTACTAACTACTACTATTACTAACTACTAACTACTACCACCACTACCAGCCTATACATACCCCTCGCTCTCTCCTTTTCATTAGTGTGACTTTGTAAATGGTCCAATTCAGACCAAAACGTCATCGTGAGCTCCTCTTTTCTATGTGCGGGTTATTTGTGTAAGGGTAGTGACCCCTGGAACCATTTGTTTGTGCTGCTGTATACAGTGGTTGCCCCATTAAGCAATTACAGTGCAGACTTGGATAGTTTAAACCTTTCTACTTGGTGTTATACAGTGGACCCCCGGTTATTGGCCGTAATCCGTTCCAGAAGGTCGGCCGATGACTGAATTAATATTTCCCATAAGAATTAATGGAAATACAATTAATCCGTTCCAAACAAAAATATTCACAAAAAAATAATTTTTTTAACAATTATGTAAGTACAGTGGACCCCCGGTTAAAGATATTTTTTCATTCCAGAAGTATGTTCAGGTGCCAGTACTGACCAAATTTGTTCCCATAAGGAATATTGTGAAGTAGATTAGTCCATTTCAGACCCCCAAACATACACGTACAAACGCACTTACATAAATACACTTATATAATTGGTCGCATTGGGAGGTGATCGTTAAGCGGGGGTCCACTGGACTGTATTACATACCTTTATTGAAGGCTAATGCTGGTTTCTGGAAGATAGGGAGGAGGAAAGAGGGAGGAGTTAGTGTTTGGAAGGGGAATCCCCTTCCATAAAGACTTTAGGTAGCAAAGCCTTCTCTGGGCTTACTTCCCTTCTGTCTTTTATTGCCACTAGGACCAGCTTGAGTCACTGAACCCATGTCTCTCAAAATAACTGTCCAGAGTGCTCTGTTTCTGGCATCTCTTTAAGATTATCCTGAAGTGGGAACATAGTTTTCAGCTGCACATTTGTCAGAACTTGCAGCCTCACCATACCTTACATCACTGTGTATGCTACTACGCATCTTAAATCCATCAAACCATCCTTTGCTGGCCCTAAATTCACAAACTGTAACACTTATTCCAGGCATTTTCTTTGCAAGATCCTTGTGCAACTGCTTTGCTTTCTCACAAATGATCAACTCCACAACACTGTCTCCCACTAATTCTTTTTCCTTAGTCCACAATAATAATTTTTCATCTTTTCCCATTTTGGGGGCCCTTTTGTTTAGTTAGACAAGTTATCCTTTTTCAAATTGCATCTTTTATTTTTTCTTTTTTGCCAGGATGGTTGTAATTGTTATTTATTCTTGCGTACATCCCGGAAATTCCTCACCTTTATAAAATCTCAAATTATTTTATACTTATGTTTAAATTCCATGGTTTTTTCCATTTCTTTACCAAGGGAAATTTATGGAACTTTTTTGGAGCCTCTTTACTTTTCCGGTTTTTACTGCAAAAAAAGCCCCTAAAAACAAAGGTAAATAAGCAAAAAAGTTTGGATGTATGAGCAGAAATTCCCAGCCACCCATAGACAAAACCAAAAAGAAGTGAAGCTACCCAGCCAGTGGAGGGGCATCCAAAACGGCCCATAACAGAGGGGAACGGTGATAACGGGGCCCAAAACCGGCGTAAAAGGGTTGCAGAAACCAAACCCGGGCGATAACCGGGGGT